AGCAAGACCTATGGAGGGCTTTGAGCCTGCAGAGAGAGAGAGAGAGAGACAGTGTGTGACCCATGGAGGGGCCTGAGAAGGTGGATCCACACAGGTGAGGGGGCTGCTGGCCAGAGGACTGACCCTGAGAACCTTTACTGGCCCTTGTGGGGGCCACAGTTGAGAGGGAGGGGTCAGGAAACATGTAGCTCAGGAGGACGCTGGCCGACGAGGAAGACTGGGACCACGAGGGTCCAGCAGCCCAACGAGGGGCCGGGAATAGAGCGGAGGACCTGGGGAGCGGCTGAGAAAGCACAGAGGAGTTGACACACCTGAGGAGGACCCGGAGCGAGATCATGGGGCCTGGTAACCCAGAGAGTGGTTGGTGAGGCCAAGAGGCCTGAGAGAGACTATGGGGTTGGACAACTGGAATGGGGTCTGAGGGAGATCAAGGGGTCTGGTGGCCCAGAGAGCAGTTGGGTGAGACCGAGAGGTCTGAGGGGCCAGAGGAGAGACTGAGGGGTCTGGCAACCGGAGAGGGACAGCATCAGCGACTGGCAGAACATCTGCAAGGATGCCATCTATGAGGCGTGGTGTAGGGGAGAATTTGGAGCCACACAGTTGACTATTAAGGTGCTATCCAGGGGCACAGTTATCGAGTGAGGCCTAGGGAGGTGCCTGGGTGCAGGCAGGGGCTTGCAGTGGGTTAGGTGAACGAGACTACACGAAAGTATGTGGGCAGCCTCCCTAATTATTATTTTACCATCGAGGTGAGGTAGGAAGGCGCCCTATGGGTGGAGCGGGGCATGGTCGCAGAGCCTCCAGGGGAATGTCAGAGCTGCCCCTGGGACCCAACCTTGTCATACGTGCTTCCCTCCTTGCAGTGGGGATGGGGGCTTATCAAAGCGGGGACAAGCCTGAGTCTGCACTTATCTCTTTACACCTCAGGTCCCCTTTCAAGGGATCTGGTGGCACCCAGGGTGCTTTGGTATAGACTATGCTGGTTTCTTTGCTTGGAAAGAGTATTTTTATCTTAACTCAGGTTTTTAAATAAAAATGGTAGCCAATATTGTTTCTTAAGGCCTGCAGTATGTTCTACATGGGGGTAACCTTAAGTCAGTTTGTAAACTCAAGCTGGTTCAAACTATCACAACTCTTTAACCAAAGAGCATGTTGCTTTTTAATGGAATCTAAGGTGTTTTTTACTTTGACCTGTGAAAAGCATGAGATGCATCATTTCAACAGACTGCCTCCCCCTGTGTCTTACTGTCACAGTTACAAGAGGCAAGGGACATTGGATTGACTTAAAAATCAAGGTTTTCTCCTTTCTTTTTGATAGTGATGAAATCTGTGATTGCAATGCCTTTGATTTTGGCCTTTTGATAATTGGGGGAATACCTTTTACCTATTAACACTAACAAACTGAAGAATGGTGGGGTAGGGACGGAGTGCCACCTCCCAGGGAGCAGGGGGGTAGCTTGCATGGGTGACTGTTGCCACCGCCACTCCGCAGCGGGCCATGTGCTGTCCCCTGCCACACCCCTGCTTTATGTCTGGCCCTGTGCCCCTCTCCCC